TACACACCTTTCGGTTCACCTGGCGGGTACTTGTGCTCATCGCAAACACCTGGCATTTTTATTACTTATTATTAACTTAAAAATGAATAAACTAAATCGTATAAAAATTTCAAGCTTACAGCAACAAGTTTTTGAAGTTATACTTCTTTAGGCGCGTTATGAAAAAATGATGAGAGTGAAATTTTAAGATGCGCGCGCATCACTGTAACACAAAATTTTAACAGCATGAAGTTGGTCGCTTGCGACCAACTTCATGCTGTTACTTTTGTGTTTACCGCACATTAAGAAAATCTACCAACAAAATAGAAATAGAATCTCTATTTAGTGGGTGCTAACGACTGCATTGTGAAAGCCTATCAAAAGTATTTATTAATCTGAAACAACGGAACCAAAGCGCGATTCAGGAGACTACAGCGCCATCTCTTGACCATTGGTGTAGTAGAACCAAAAACCACAACTTTATTTTTTGTAATAAAGTAACAGTTATAGGTATTCATATTTATAATATTTATCCACATGTTTCTAGTTTGTATATTCGGAATACGTGTTTGAGTTTCATACAAGTGCAAATCACATTATGTTGTAATAAATTATATTCAGTAGCGATTTTAATTGAATATTTTGATTATTTATTTATTTTTTCAAATTAAAACTGAACTTTATTGACTGTGTCCTTTTCCAGACTTTTTATTATTTATAGTAATTAATTATTTGCATGCAATTAAAAACTAATTTTAAACGATGCCAAAGAAGGATAACTTCTCACGCGCCTACATAAGTACACGCACCCATTTTTTTTTTTTATATTTTACCGACACTTTCAAAAATATAGGGCTTCATGACATGCAATGCTGAGGAGTACCAGGCGATGCTTACCGTACTAAGCTTGTTATGACTTATCACCATAAAAAATTCTAGCCTTACAGACTATTCCTCTAGGGCTATTCCTTCGTACCAAATTTCACGGGAAGTACCCGGTAGGTTTCGATTCCCTTGCGAATTTCGAAAATTTACTGAAATCCGCGGCATAGACGGCTGTATCTTTTGATTGCGTTGACTTAGAAGTTTGATTTTTTCACAGACCCAAATAACAGTAGACCTGAGTATTTGAGATAAATTTCAGCTTGATACCTCCACGCGTTCTTGAGAAAAAGGACCTTGACAGACGGACGGACGGACAACAAAGTGATCCAATAAGGGCTCCGTTTTTTCCTTTCGAGGTACGGAGCCCCAAAAACTAAATTATACTCAGTTCCAGACCTTTTCGTTGATAAATTATATGAATAGTGGGGAAATTAATTTTTTTTTGTCACATTGTCATTTTTTTTCGTGGAATGGGATTGTATAGATTTGAAATCGAAGAATTAGCCTTTAGGTTTCGATTTTTTAAGAATTTCATATTATCACAAAATAGAACGTAGGTACACGTTCTATTTTGTGATATACGCATATTATGTTAGTACGTTGAAAATCCAAATACACGTTTATTTAACGATTACTGTGGATAAAAATAGATGCATACCTACAAGATTGGCTAATTAGTACCTATATCATGGTTAATGGGATGTTAAATGAGGAATAACAATACAGGGATAATAACGGATATGTTTTCCTGTCCAGAAACTGTACCCAACCAAACTTTGTTGTTATCTGATATTAAATTATTCGTTAATTATTATTATTAATTGTGTTGATTAAAGGATTATTGATCACAATAGTAGGGAAAATGACTATTTTTTTTTATTTATCAGACACGTATTCTTATTTTATTCACATAATCAAAACATTACAGAGATATATTGATTTTAAATATCGCATGACGTCACTTCTTGGTATAATTTTTACTAACTGACGGACTAAATAGAATTTCTTTCTACTTTTACCCCGACATCATCCCTATTGTATTGTATGCGATTTTTAGTTACGAAACCTAAACGTGGAATGTTGCAACTCTCGATTTATGACCTGAAAAATGTCCGCGCTTTATTTAAAGGTATGGTAGTGTAGTATTTATTATTCAAAGAGTTGCACAACGAATATAGTTCTTATATCTACGTAATAAAGACCACAACGGCGTCAAATTGTATGCACTAACGAGGGCTTGACTGTATGACTGTATGTACTTGCATGGTATGAACATAAACGTTATCAGCAAGGAATTTCCGTAGAAAATTGTGATTCACAGAAACTCGGCTAAAAGTTTTCCGTAAATTTTAGACTAACTACCAACGAAGTACTTTAATGTATGATTTTGGAATCAATTTAAGCTGGTCGCTTGATAGACAAAATACAAATCAAATGGTAAATAAGTATTTAACCTTCAATATAAATAGTGGCAAATGTTACTTATGGGTACAGTAAATTTACTTAGACATAGATCAGATTTCTGGATGATCGAATCTGAAAGTAAGAGAGGTAACAATGAAAACACCCGAAGTTACACGATTTATTAATAATGTAAAGTATTTAAAACAATTTTTAAATTTCTGACAAGATTATAAATTACTTCGACTGATCTTGCGTTACAAAACATGAATTAAATATATTTTAGCCCATTCCGTATTTTTTCACAGACCCAAAAGACAGTAGAACTAGCGTCCGCCCCCGTTTTGCACGAATGCAATTACTAAGAAAGAATAAAAATTATTGACATTTCAGTAAAAAAACTCCGTCACGATTTCCTTAATTTCAGGTGAAACCATCTGAAATGGTAGATTTCCCATGAATTTTCTTTGATACAAAGTTTTTTTGTATCAAAGAAAATTCACACTTAGGGACAATAAAAATAAAACAGCAACTTTCTCCTTTTTCATGTAATGCTCCGTGATAATGTGGAATAATAGACATAGACGGAAGATCAAACAATATTTAGCTATCGAATAAAATTTATTGACATCGAGAGAATTCAAACATTTTTCTATTAGCTTAATAAATAATCTTATCTATATTATGATGCTCTTTTTCTACTACAATTGTCTTGGTAAAAAAAAAACAATTGTATTAACTTTCTATTTATATATTAGCTAATTAATTAATAGTTAGTTGAAATAAACTGTGCTTATTAACTCACTATTGAGAATATTATACTTAAAATGCTGAATGAACGAACACATGTGTAACCTAATGAATCTATCGACCTAAAAGTCAAACTCTGTACATTTTTTTTCTAATTTTGAAACATTACACTTGCTGATGTACATTGAAACTATAATGTCTATAAGGCAGACGACTCAGTAGGAATATTTCATATTCTTTTCTTATACGACACACACTAACAAACAGTATCCGTCATTAGGAGAGATAAAAAAAATGTTTTTCAACAGTTGCCAAAGCAGTAATTATACTTATTGTCCGCAACGTTCAAATCTTTCGGTTATTACGTCAGTCGGGAGGAGTGTCTCCAAAATTGTTCTCACCAACCCAACGAACGTTACAATACGTTGTATCTTTTAAAACATTTAGTTTCTCTTGTATTCGGTTGGAAATGCGCATTAACAACTTTTGTCGTCATAAATCATGACTGTTACTTATTAGAACCTCGTGACAGCCAGTACAATAACATCGATGGTTATTATGAATCCAGACTAGACAAATAAAAGAGTCGTGCCCATAATTGTTGACATAGAATAAACTTACCTATTTGCTGCAAATATTTACGCGGTGACATTCGATAGAGTATACGTACGATATTGTTTGTTCGGTCAAAAGCAGCAGTGACGTATCGGAGAGTGTAAATAACAACCTACATAATCTTTCTATAGAAAACTATGTGATGTAGCGCATAGTTTTAGATTTTAATGACATGGTGTCTATAATTATTCTATAGCACATTTCCCGTTGAATTTTGTTTATCTATTTCTGGATTTTGCCTGGGATATGTTCTGATCACGGCTAACTAAAGGTTGTTGACACTTCACAAGCCCGGTTAAGAATGTGTGCACAAATAAATCATCTCAAGATCCCAAAAATTTAAGCATTTAGATGACGCAATGTACTTTATTACATCTACTTTATCACGGGTAATTGATTTGAATGAACAAATTGATACGAGTTCTGATTTTTTTAACCAACTCGAACAGGATATGATTTCGCCATTGAATTTATAAGTCCCATTGATTTTTTATCTTTTACCTCGCTTTTATTACAGGGTGAATAAAAGAACATAATGGCTGCTGGTAGCCTAATTTAATTTTTTAATTGTATTCAATCGCACTTATACTCTGGTAGTTAGGATTCCAAATCATCAACCCTCTCACTCGCATTGAAATACTGGTTATACCTAGTTGAATTTAAATTAGGGGAAACGAAACAGATTCTATACAAAGCATTCGTTCTGTGTTCATGTATAGGTACTGACTCATTCCTGCTTTCAGAAGGGGGACCATTTCCCCTTCAAATATCTTAGATTCCTAACAAGGATAAAATCGAAACAGCTTAAGTATACTTAACCTCTTTCATGCACACTATATTGAATGCCCGTCAACCTTATTAACGAAGTTGTATTAGTTGTTAAAATAGGATAATTACAAATCTGCCTAAACGGATCTGAACATTTTGTATCGTTCTTAATTGTTTATTACTGGTGTGCCGTATTACACTACTTAAGCTAAAGAGGGCTGGAGATACCAGTAATGTCTAGAGATTTGCAATACGCTTTTCGCAGTGCGCGGGAGCCGGTTATTTATAGAATCTGAAAATAACGACGGTCACGTGTAGGTAAACACGAACGAGCCTCTGATGAAGACGTATCGCATCACCATTTTAGTTAGATGTCCCAATTTTAAACCCGTTCGCTTGACAACATGTCATTTACATTATGAAGTAAACGCTAATTAAAATTCCACGAATTGTGTGTGTACGTTAACTAATAAATGTGCACTACACCACCTACCTAGTTAAGTAAAATCCATTATTACTTTTAGACCAAAACAATTTAGACTCGATTCAAGAAAGTTACAGTTTTATATATCAAAAAAATAATAGAATTCTCTTTTTTACAGAAACCTCAAATGCGGCCGATGATTGCCGAATATGATCCCAAGAAAAAAGGAGTCAGAAATGACTTGTCTGATCTTGTTATGGTCAAGTAAGTAAAAAATGTACCAAATGATTTCTACGCCAGGATCACATTTAAGATTTAATCATAGACTTAGCTTCGACTGCATCTGTGTTGTCAATAATTATTGATTCTTATCTAGCCACATATGACAGATCTTTGTTTACTGCTTGATAATTAAATATAAAATCAACCTGAAGCATGCCTCACAGCTTAACTTCATTTTTATGTTCAGCAAATTTTTACATTGTTGTGATATTCTATCAAATGGTCTAAGACTAATTAATATTGACATTTTTGTTCAACAGGAAATCGAAAAAGAAAATTTACCATAAAACATCTTTTAATTCTTCTTTTTTATCGGTATCAATAAAAGCATTTAATGCATTATGCGCTTCTTGAAGTGTATTTACAATCGGCCTAACAGGTCGGATTTTCAAACCTTATTTGTTTTATTGAAAAAATATATAAAATTGCCGTGGTATTTTATATTGTATGTTGACTGTTAAGTACTCGCTCCTTTAACGAGCTAATATGCTCGACGCCGTTCGGAGACGATCCGGGAAGACGTGTGCTGCTTCCACGAGATTAAAGTCATTCGTCGACCTTGATCATCTTGCAATGGACTCATACACCGGTACATCATTCCATTTTATGGTTTCAATTTTGTTATTTAATTTGTTTTGTTTGGTTTTGATAAAATTAAAAGTATCTTAATGGTGTGTACTGGCAGGCACCGCGCTTATGTGGCGCGGTGTAGTGCCGGACCACGTGCGCCATCTCTGTTCAGGCTCGGGATTGGTCCTAGAATCGGAGAATTGTACAAATTTGATTTAGCTTTATGTATTCCAATACATTCAATCCTGTATTTATTAACGACAGTGTAACTCTGTGCGGAAATAAATCTTGTTGTACAATTTCCTTACAACCTATTCAAAAGTTTAGCAGTTAAGTTTCCACGTAAAGCTGTATTGAATTTAAGGATGGGCCATCATTTGTAAATGCCGAGTCTTAACAGAGTGAAGCGCACGAAAAAGAAATAATTATGTACATTGTTCTGGAGACCATAATGAATGTATCACACTTCACACATGAATACTGACACAAGTAGTAATTCGTTTAAGAGTACAAGGACCTTCATCCGCGATTTACTTGATTATTGCCACAAAGTAGTGATCGCGCGTAGACTCATATGCCCGGATAATCGCGACCGCGACACCACCTCGTCTCACACATCGATCAGTTCACTTTCAAGCTTAAAATGTGGCGCTTTCTTTGTTTCCGCTACCATCACCTGGTTTTGCTTAAATTCGATTCGTGGTAAAAATACACTCTTATACCGACTCACTTCTAACCTATCAACATCACTCTCTTAGTAATTAATTTCAAAAGCCACGGACGCCACTATAACATTATTTGGGAAATGTTTTACAGGTATAAAGTTGACCCGAATGAGATCCCTGTGGAACAACAGGCGGGGTCAACCCTACCTCTCATGGAGATACCGGGTCGAGATGTTGAAGCGGATGAAGATTATAATCCATTTGAACACCGGAAACTGGCTCATCCTACATCGTAAGTTTACTTTTAAAAAATAGGTTTTGTTATATGAATTTCATTATGCTTAGAAGATTTTACAGAAAATAGTAAAATTTGCATTAAATTTATTTGTTTAAAACTTCTTAAATAAATAAACTCGTTTAAAAAAATCTGCTTAACTTTTAAATATAATACCGATTCTTTTTTAAGGGTTCCATACCAAAAAGGAAAAAAGGAACCCTTATAGGATCACTTTGTTCGCCGTCCGTCCGTCCGTCCATCTGTTAAGACCGTTTTTCTCAGGAACGCGTGGAGGTATCAAACTGAAATTCATATCCAATACTCAGGTCTACTGTCCCTTGGAGCTGTGAAAAAATCAAACTTCTAAGCCAAAGCAATCAAAAGACAAAGAATCATAAACGGCTATACGTTTATGCGGCAAATTTTCGAAACTCGCACGGGAATCAAACCTACAGGGTACTTTCCGTAAACTTAGAATCTTGAAATTTGGGACGAAGTAACGTCTTATAGTACACATAAAGGAAATATTGCGAAAACCGTAAATTTTTAGTTACATCGGAACCCTACGGTTTGTACGTAACCCTCGCCTCGGTGCGCGAGTCCAACTCGCTTGGCCGGTTTTTTCCATACTACAAAACTTTAACTTAAAAATAAAAAATAACTGAATGGTGTATGGTACATCTAATTTACAATATTTTTCTCCTTTCCAGGGACATGGATACCTTAATACATCTTCTGAAAGGTTCGCTCGGTAGTGGTATTTTAGCAATGCCGATGGCGTTCTTGAATGCTGGTCTCTTCTTCGGTCTGGTGGCCACCTTCCTCATCGGTGGCATCTGTACTTACTGCGTTCACGTTCTAGTAAGAACATCGCACGACTTGTGTAGAAGGATACAGAAACCGTCGCTCGGTTTTGCTGAAACTGCAGAGGCTGCATTTCTATCTGGACCGCCGGCTGTGCATAAATTCTCGAGGCTAGCAAAGTAAGTAAACTTTTTTCTAACCGATTGGTTTTGGACCTTTTCAAAACCTGGAATGACTATATTGACATTGATAGTAAAGTCATAGAACGTTTTAATTTTTTTATAACAGGGCAAAGACATTAAAGAATAAATTTTATTTGTTACAGGGCTATGATCAATTGGTTCCTAGTTATAGACTTATTGGGATGCTGCTGTGTGTACATCGTTTTCTTCTCGAAGAATGTAAAGCAAGTAGTGGATTACTACGCTACGGGAAGTGACTGGCATGATATAGATATCAGAGTCTACATGGCTACATTATTGCCGTTCCTTATAGCAATTAATATGATCAGGAACTTGAAATACCTAGCACCATTTTCGATGATTGCAAATCTTCTAGTTGGAACTGGCATGGGAATTACTATCTATTACCTGTTCCAAGACATTCCAAGCATTCAAGAAAGGTCACCTTTTGCTGGATTTGAGCGACTACCTATGTTCTTCGGTACTGCTATCTTTGCTTTGGAAGGCATTGGTGTTGTAATGCCACTTGAAAACAATATGAAGACACCAACTCACTTCATCGGATGCCCCGGTGTTTTGAACACTGGCATGTTTTTTGTGGTCTCCTTGTATGCTTTTGTTGGATTTACTGGCTATTTGAAATACGGAACCAATACTAAGAGCAGTATTACTTTAAATTTGCCAGAAGATGAAATGTAAGTTGACATAAGAAAACCGCAGATTTTATCAGATGAATAAATATTACTTATAACATTTAAATTACTGTTCGTATTGGAAACAAATTATTTACAAAACTTCTTCTTTTTTTCAGTTTGGGCCAATCTGTGAAGTTGATGATTGCTGTTGCAATTTTCTTCACGTACAGCCTTCAGTTCTACGTCCCCATGGAAATCATTTGGAAAAATGTACGTCACTGGTTTGGTGCTAAGAAGAATCTCGCTGAGTACAGTATTAGAATCGCTCTGGTTATTGTAACAGTGGCAATTGCTATTGCTATTCCAAACCTTGGACCATTCATTTCACTTGTTGGTGCTGTCTGTCTTTCTTTCCTGGGGTTGATATTCCCCGCGGTTATTGAAACTGTCACTTACTGGGACCGACCTAATGGTCTTGGTCGTTTCAACTGGGTGCTTTGGAAAAATACCTGTCTTATCTCTTTCGGAATTCTAGGATTCCTGACAGGTTCCTACGTCAGTATTCTTGACATTATTAAAGGCGAAGAATAAGAATAGCAACGCATGACCACTTTTTAGAATTACAGCTTAAAAGCGAAATTATTAAGGGCTAAGAACATTAATAATAAACCTGCTTTTAGTTCTGTATCTCGTACTTTTTTGTATTTCGGTTTATACTGTAAAAACATAACTGACTATTATGTCCTATCTTTATGTATTGTTGCGATATGATTTGATTTTTATAATGCTCAAATAATTTTGTTTGAGATTAGTATTACCTATCCTATTTTGTTTAAGGATATTTTTATTGTTTTTATCGCGTGCAGTAGGTTGTGTTATCTTATTATTATTATTTAGCCCCGAAACTTTGTAGCCATTTAGATATAAGACAATGTAGATATCTACCTAACTTTAAAAAGTGTGAGAATGTTCTAGTGCATTATCGAAATGTGATACAATTTTAGGTTTAATAAAAAAGGCATCAACTGCCTTGTTAAGAAAGATATAAAATCTATTGGAGTTTATTTTCTGAAAACGTAGACACAGTATGGAATCAAGTTTACATCTGGATAAATTGTTCCATATTTTACTAAATGTGTGTTACAATTTTGGGGTTTAATATTAAAAACATTATTCGTGATAACATTATGGCATTTTTTCATTACCAAAAAAAGCTATCTGCTTAGGTAATTTATAGATTTTGATATCTAGCTTTTTTTAATTTGTGTACTGAAGCATTTAATCTTAAAGTGCCTAAAGGAGCTTAATGTAAGATTTATTCTCAGTCGCATGAAATTGAAAAAAATGAATCACTAAATCTTATTAGAGATATGTAGGTACTTGTGATTAATGAATAATAACGGAAAAGAATCTTTATATATATCGAAATATTAATTATTTTGGAGAAAGATTTGTACACATTTTGTTAAAAATCTAAGTGTGAGGATATTTTTCAGTATTCAAATATAGTATCGAATAATAACACCTCATTGAAAAGATTTGTAGGTTTAGAAATAAATGCCGTATTTTACTTACAGTAAATGTAAATTTTAACACATTACATATTTTTATTCCCTATATCAATGCATCCAGTAAAAAAGTGAACAAATTTGTAATCGAAGGTCATTTATAGTTCCTGTAAGTGAATCAGTTTCTGATATTTTTAGTAACCATCATTAGATGGTGATGCGAAATTAAGTTTAAGTGAGTAAGACTAAAATGTAAAAATATATACCTAGAATGATTGCTCTAAATTTATAGCCCAGGCCCTTTTGTCTGGGATTGAATGGGTCATTCTTTAGTTATAAGTTCCTGTTTGGGCAGTAGGCCAATTTGCTTTTTTGATGAAAGAATCGTTACATTGCTATGTGTATTTGTAATGTTCTTCGTGATCTAAACAATTATGACACAACAATCATTTGTCTGTTAATATAACATGAGCGTTAGTCTCTATATTGTGCCAAAAGTTAGAGTCAATCATGATATTGCAGCAATATTTAAGAAGATATTTACAAAAAAATATAGTCATTATTTTGCAATGGCGATTTTTTAAACCGCCACCTACGACCTAGTATCAATAAAAAACTTTGATTAGTCTTTCAAACTAGAATGTGTTTAGAGTTGTTTAGATAAAACTATCGTCAATTAGATTAAAAAAATAATAAAATAATTTAGTCATTACCGCCAAAAAAAATGAAATTTAAGTAAGTCATGTAAATAAGTTCTTAAAAAAAATCCGAATCCTCCTCGAAAGACATTAAAATATGGTGTGTAATTCATAAAATTACCCAAATAAGTGCAAATTTGAGCTCATATATATCAAGTTACGGCTTTTTGTAAATCATGATCTGCCTCTTTGGACAATTTAGAGCAAAGCTAAAATAATTTCCGTAATCAGACCTGCATGATAGGGACTGGCTAGTGAGTGTTAATTTAAGTTAGACAATGAAATTTTCTAAAACACGAGCATTCAATTTTTTGATATGTAACATCTTTCCTCTCGATTTCCTGCAATTTTTAGAAATCATTTCGTGAAATGAGACGGTAGTGTGTAACAGGAAGTCGCGAAAGCGCGCTATTTGTTTTGATTTTAGAACATAATGTTCAAATGGCATATTCCTTTTGTAGTAGGTTTTATTTCTTTTTTTACTAATATAAGGTGAGATTTCAAATGTTACACATCATACGCGACTCGCTCGTTTTTTTTGTAACATGTTTTGTATAACTCAGTTACTTTCAGAAATTATTTTAAAACACTCCCGACAGTACGATTCCAGGTTCATGTCAATTCAGAAATACAAAACTATTTTGGAAAGCTATTATTAGATTTACTGTTAACATAACAAAATTATATGATTGTTATATTAATCAGACAAAAAAACTATTTAGTGAAATAAATACTATATAGATCTATTGATGTAATTTATCAGACTACCTATTTTAGATAGTAACGGTTGTTTTGTTACAGTATTAAATAGATCATACATAAGGAATAGTGTTTAATTTTACAAAAATATATATTATGTTGGAAAAGATTTATCATCTTGAGCTCCTCCGTCCTTCTTGGCATTGGTTCCGGGTTCCAGATGCATCTGTATAGTCAAAGCTAGAACCCACGGCCACCAATCCAAACTAGGGCTACAGGGAAGGCCTGTGCCCGTAGAGCAACACGGCCGACTCGGTCAAGTGAGAGGTATGCATACACAGATTTTCCTTCTCTGTTGAATTGGGCATACTAATTGTGTAAACTTGGATAGTTAACGGAATGAGTTACAGAGCTGAAATTTTGGTATTTTATGTAGAATATTTGCCCAAACTCTATACTTAGTTAAAAATTCAATTAAATTATATTGCGTAGGGGATCCCATACATGAAAAAGGTCATTTTTTGAAGTTATACTTCTTTAGGCGCGTTATGAAAAAATGATGAGAGTGAAATTTTAAGATGCGCGCGCATCACTGTAACACAAAATTTTTACAGCATGAAGTTGGTCGCTTTAGCGACTTTTGTGTTTACCGCACATTAAGAAAATCTACCAATAGAAAGAGAATCTCTATTTAGTGGGTGCTAACGACTGCATTGTGAAGGCCTATCAAGATAATTAATTAATCTGGAACAACGGAACCAAAGCGCGATTCAGGAGACTACAGCGCCATCTCTTGACCATTAGTGTAGTAGAACCAAAAACCACATCTTTATTTTTTGTAATAAAGTAACAGTTATAGGTATTCATTTTATAATATCAAAAGTATTTATTAATCTGGAACAACGGAACCAAAGCGCGATTCAGGAGATTACAGCGCCATCTCTTGACCATTGGTGTAGTAAAACCAAAAACCACATCTTTATTTTTTGTAATAAAGTAACAGTTGTAGTTTGTATATTCGGAATACGTGTTTGAGTTTCATACAAGTGCAAATCACATATGTTCTAATAAATTATATTCAGTAGCGATTTTAATTGAATATTTTGATTATTTATTTATTTTTTCAAATTAAAACTGAACTTTATTGACTGTGTCCTTTTCCAGACTTTTTATTAATTTATTGTAATTAATTATTTGCATGCAATTAAAAACTAATTTTAAACGATGCCAAAGAAGGATAACTTCTCACGCGCCTACATAAGTACACGCACCCGTTTTTTTTATTCCAGCATCATGTAATACATCATTGTACAGCAGCATTGATTAGGATATAAATAGAAGTTTTGCATTTATAATTTTCAATAACAAAAAAAAATATAGGATGCAATAAAAACTGTGCTAAGGCAATTTTGGTGGTGAAGGGTACAAAATTACGTTGTCTTCTAAGTGACTCTGTTGAACCGTAAATCCCAGGTTTTTACCGATGTGCTAAAAGTAATAATATTACCAGCATGTTGGATGTTTGTAGCCAGCACTACATCACCAAGTTGACCAACAGATGCTTGGCGATAGATTTGTAGGTCGTCTGGATGAAGTGGTAAGAAGAAGAAATTTTATTTGAAACAGAGTTAACTACTATAGCGAAAAGAAGAGAGGGTAGGATGCCGCCTTGTGATAAACGCGAGCAGTCGTGTCACCATCGTGTCCATGAAGAACATGACACGACTGCTCGCATTTTATTGAATGTCTCCTCTAGGCGAACGCGCTGCCTGCGCCCATTCAGATAATTGTGAAATCATTCAATCACCGATGGACATATATGTGAGTGCAGCAATACCTAAATAATATCAAAGACGACAGTGTTAAAAGCACTGCTAAAATCCAACAATGCCAAAATCGTATCGAGACCATTCATCCCAAAGCGTATCATCAGTTACTTTAAGTACCATAATAATAGTGTACAGGTCATGAATTATTGGTATGCAACTGCGAGTGAAAATTGAATTTATTATCATCATCAACCTATTGATGTCCTCACTGCTGGAGAATAGGTCTTTACCCACCACGCGGGTCCAGTGCGGATTGGTGAGTGCTGACTGCCGATGCAGCTGGGACTAACGGCTTACTTACTACCTTGGAGACCTTGAGGTAATAAAAGGACTGAATTAGCGTTAATGTTGAAAATAACATCATGTCGTACGTAGGTTACTAGATAAAATATTTTTATATGGTTAAGAGTAAGAAAAACTAACAAATACTGAGGCCCAACCCTGAAAATAATAAAGTCTGATTCTGCGCTTTATATTCTAAAATTGTTAGTGAGCAAATTCAAGTACCTGCTGTGTACCTGTGGGAGTTTAAATGAGATCAGGTTAAGTAAGGAACAATTAAGATTGTCGCTAGTTTTTAACAGTAAACATAATTTCCCTAAAAAGGCGTTTAAACTATAATAGGTACCTATTTTTTTCTACACGATTTAGTAGATGTAAGATAGAATAGAATTTGGGCTCTTCAAACAGCCAGGCACCAATTTCATATTCTGATTAAGTTGCTTGGGTTGGGCTTGGACACTTCTAAATATTACCGGAAATATCTGCCTAAATTCACTCAAAAAAGCACCACAATACCTGATGAATGCCCGATGGAAGGCATTCAGACATTTTGACTATAGTTGGCAAAGACCCTTTACTGCATTTATAGCTTTATTTTTCTGATTTTTAGGCCCTAGGACGAGGGCGTGGGCGTGACAAAGGAATATGAGGATTCATTTTCTCTCTTTTTCGATTTTTGTGAGACTGGCAGATTTTTATAATAAATCTTAAAAGCAAGATATCTTGTCAGATCAGCAGAAAATTGCTAAGG